TGATTCCAATAATTGTGGTAGTCTTTTTGAAAATAAAATTGACCTTTGGACTTTGAAGTAAATCAGAAGACTTTTTTCACCAAGTTGTGGTACCGCTGCTGTTCGAAAGCAGTGAATATCACACTTCGTTGCTATTTAGTCTTTTCCAAATTGTATGACAGTTTAGGAATAGATGCATCCCAGGACACAAAACATAGGTTCAGTTTCTAGCTGTAGTCTTTTCAAATATGAAAATCTGTTTTCAGCAGAGCCTTTGAGTAATGTAAGGATTAATGCTAGGAAGCTGGTTTTGATCGTGTATGTAAATTTTAACATTCCAGTGAAGGATCATTGTAATCTTTTAACTTCTGTCATTTTAAATCTATATGTGAGTCTAGTAATGCAAGATGAACTTGTGTTAGACCTTTTTAGCTAAATATTTCAAACATTAGGAACACCTTGTTTATCTGAAGCCTGTTCTGCCTGTTTACAAACAATCATTTACAGTGGTGTTTAAGGAAAGAAAGTCAGGATTTCTGTCTAGATAAATAACTTCATGCTTTGCATTTTTTGTAGTCAATGGCACTCATAGGTACGACATAACAAGGTTTATAGCATCTTTAAAACACTATACTGCCTAGTACTTGCACATATTAATTTAAAGATGACTTGGCCAAGAAGGATAGTATAGTTTACAAATTTAGAGTGAGGCTTAAGTCCCAGGCTCTGCATTCAGTACTCCACCATAACTCTTCCAGTCTGTGGACCCCAGATAGATCCTCAATTCTTTTGTACGCAACTAAGATTCCAGTTCAGCTACTGCATCTTGAAGCCCTATATAATGGCATGGGTAGAATCTCCTGGCTGTGTTGTTGCCATACAGATCCTGCAGGAATCCTTTAGGACCAAAGTAATATCTTGTTTAAGTTCATAGCTCAGACTCCAGCTGTTCTGGAATACAGAATTCAGAGAAGTCTGCTGATCTCATCTCGCCATGGATATGATAAAATAAATTAATACTGCTCCCTTTTACTCCACAACACTGAAAAACTAGAGTCTACAGATGTGTGTGAATATTTTGGGGAACTCTTCTCAAGACAAAAATTCAACTTGATAAACTAAATCTCTTTCACCACCCTCTGTAATGACTAGAAGAAGGCTTAGGCATTTCAGAGGTGACGCTAAAACGATTCCTTTTTCTCTTTGGTGACTGTAAGGGGACTTCAAGGAGTTTTGCAGCCTTGCAAGATTTACATTAATCCTTGTGAATACTGTATCACCAGTGCATACATAAATACATTAGCTCTGTTTCAGTTGGCCATATCTTTTTATTTTAGCCCTGCTGGTAAGAATACTTCATTGCTCTATTGTAACTGCATTCTTGATTATGGCTAAAAGGGATGTTGCTCTTGGATTCACAGAATGATGACAGTATTTATTATTTTAATACCTGTGGCTAACTGTAACCTTATTATAAAGCTAGCCTCTGTCTGTGAACCTCAATATCTGAAGAGATTAGATTGTCACTTTGGTAGTTTTGCCCAAATCTTCTTTATAATCTTCAAATTACAGTTCAGACAGGAGACATAGTAGAACTATTGGATATAAAAAAGTATAAATACCTTATCAAGATAATGATATTCTTTTGTTTAAGCTCTCTTTTGAAATCAACAAAGTATGAAGTTGGAAATTACTGCTGTCTTTGTTACTACTGTTAACTGTTGGCATGTACCAACCACTGGAGACATGTTCTTGAGTCCTTCAAGGTTGTGTAGCTAAGGCAAGCACATTTGTTTGCATCAGTGTATCTTGGATTAAAGAAGGTTCTGTAATGCCCATGAAGGTCATGATTCCATGCTGATACAAATGAAGTCTATTAACAGCACTGTAAATCTGGTGATTTGTTTTGACTTAGGTTCTGCACTAAGATATTTACTATTTTAAATGAAAATCTGGCAGGGAAGTATTTCTGCATGTGTAGTTTTTGAGTCATTCAACTACTGTTTTTTGCCAGCATATGAAAAGGGTAAGCCTGTATTGTTGGCAATACTTAGCATTTATCTTCAGGCTATGCAGTGTTAATTAAAAATAACTTGTTTTCACTTATTGAAGTGTTAATAACAATGTGATTTTGTGCTTGTAAAACGTGTCTTGTATTTAAAATGCATTGAAATAGGAGCTGGATATTGCTTGTAATATCTTCACAAGGGAGCCGTATAGCTATTACTACATATATTCTACAGAGTAAAACTGTAGCTGAAGGCAGGAAAACTGAGATAAAGGGGTGAGCTCAGTTGCATGATTTTTGGAAACCAGAGTCTAGTATAACATGCATCATTTTCCTAGCCCTTTCCTTTATTCAGTCACCTTTATGGGAACAAAGTATTTCGGGGAAGATTTGTTTCTTTGTTTTTAAGTACAGCAGTCATGAGAGCAACATTAATTGACAAGCAGATGCGAAATATTTCCAATACAGACACATTAGCTATATTAATGGGGAGTAGAATATACTGTGGATATGTTCAGATCGTGTTTAGTTTCTGTATGCCATTGTTCATAAAACATATTTTTAAAATAGTGAATTTGGTGTTTTTAAGCTATTAAAAAAGTGTAGTCAATAGTTGTAGGACTTCAGTGGTTACTGTCATGTAGGTATCTGAGATGAAAATCTGCAGAAGAATATAAGGTTAACTTAAAGAGTAATTCAGTGTTCAAAAGTACTTGGGACCAATGGATCAGATATATCACAAACTGGACAACACTATACCAGGCCATTAATACTTAAGACTACTCTTGCAGTAGATTTTGTACTCAGTTGTCCCCCTAACAGACTCAACAATTTTGAAATACTTACATCTTTATAAGAATGATTTATCCAAACAGTAATGTATGTTTTGGAGTTTTACGTAATTCTTTAAGGAAGAAAAAGAGTCTGAAGCTATGAAGCTAACCGTATTCTTGACCTGTCCACATTCTTCATCTGAAAGCTACATTTTACAGTACATTTAGTTCATGGGGAAAACTCAAGGCAAAGAGTAACTTCAATTGTAGTTAGGTTTGCTTTCTGGATGTTGATTACTGATAGTTACGTGTATATTAAGAATTTGCAAACAAAAGTGTTTGTTTGCTGTTCATATTTTTTTCTTCTGTTCATATTTTTACGCTTCTTGTTGAGTAAGGTTATTTCCTATTTGCTGCCTCAGTGATGTAGGTTTGCTTAGAACCAGTTGTATTATTAGTTGCCACCTTTGAAGTTGCAGCTTACCAGGGAACGTTTAAAAAAAAAACACAGTATTTTACATGGATTTCTGTCTTGCTAGACAAATAAGCTCTGAATACTAAGGTTTTAAAGCATGAGCCACTGTGGAACCATGTCTTTATCATCTGAAAAATGCATAGATATACACTGAGCTGACTCGTATCCACAATGCTTTTGATAGTCCTGTTTTGCTAGCAGTTCAGAAAGGATCGATTTTGTTGTCAACGCTGACAATAGCTTGCAAAGCATTACAAGAGTCTTTATTTACTTTGGTTCCTATGCAAGTGTTGGTAGGAGAATTGGTCACATTACTGTAATGACCTCTCTCTCCAAGATGTATGTTTGATCTCCTCCCTGTGAAGATTATAAGAATTTCAGAAACTGCAAGTAGTAGGGAAATTTCTATGTTAGCATGAATCTTGAAATACTTTTTGAAAGTAATTGTTCCCTTCATCTGATGGAAAATGTTACTCATTTTGAGACATTTATTACGTTACATGTTGACTTGTAATACAAAAGCTTTTTCCTGATCATCTCTAGTTTCTGCTTTAATACTATGCATATTGCTCTGTTCACAGATGTTTTTATTTTTAGCAAGGAAATTACTCTGAAATATTGTACAGTGTGTATAAGAAGGCTATACAGCTAGGTACATACTGAGGTATGACTACTTCTGTTTTCAGTGGTATTTATTTTGGTATGATGTGTTATGTTCATAATATAAACTTAGTGTACTATAGAGGTCCAAATACTATGGTTAGTAAACATAAACTATTTCTTTGACATTTTGGAGAATATAGTCCTTTCTCCAGACATGTTATGAGTACTGACTTAAGACATTATGTAAAGACACTTTTACTATGGTTTCTTTCCTTTAGACTGGAGCAATCCAAATTAGTGAGCAATGAATGATTGCTTTAGAGAAACAATGTTCAGCAGACATTTTTGTTTTTCATATAAGGTATGTAATAACGTAAGAAAAAGATTGTTCAAAACAACTGGTATTGTATAGGAAAAATGCTGGGTGGTAGAATAGAATGTGAACTACACTTTTCAAATAGATAGTAATGACATAAGCTCTTTGGTTATGGATAGAAATTGTTTGGAAGGTATATAGCTGATTCAGTAAAGACATCTGAAATATCTCAATAGCTCAGTCTTCTATTGATGCTGAGAATGAATGTGCTGTTAAATGAAAAGATTGTCTGTTTTCATGTTTTCATTGACAGTATTTATTGAATTTGCATTGCAATGTTGTGGACGTTTTGAAATTCACTCATTCTGCTCTGTGGGAGTAAAATAATAAATGCTGCAGATTAAAGCATTATCAAACTGCACTGAGGCCATCTGAGTTTATAAATTGCTTATAGAGAGAAAAAGTGATTTTCCACATTAATGTGGTGATAATAGATTGGAATCAATAATAATAATTATATTAATGTTGTTCCATAAGTAACCTTGGACTATAAATTGCTGTATTACAGCAATTCCGAAGATGAAAAGTGTTTAATTTCTTTCCTACATACAGCTAGCAAAACATATTTTGATTCTGTGGACTTTTGCTCAACATCACAAATCAGTGTTCTGTGGCTGTAGGGGTACTGGTTCCTGAAATGCAGTGAGACTAAAAAAAAAAAAAACAAAACTGTAAGCACATATGATTTATCAAATGTTTTGATGAACTGAGGACACAAAGAGCACAGTTTCTAAGAGATCGTAAATAACCATTGGTTGTTTCTTTTTCCTGTCATTTTTTTTACAGACTGACAAGAAAGAAAAAAATAATGCTTTGAATGTTGCAATAGATAGTATGTGCAAGAAGACAAGAGACCTTCGCAGACAGGTAAACAAACTGGGGAACTGGTAGAAACTGTAGACTTAGAGGCTTATATAAATTGCTATTTTCAGACTACATAGTCAGACTACATGCAGAACATGAGCACACGCTGCTCTCATTTTGTCTCTAGCAATGGCTGTTGGTCAGTTTTCTGGTGGAAGAATATCCCTCCTAACTTTGTGTACAGGTTTATAAGCCAACCTGTGCTTTAGGATGGTGAATAAATTCCTTTCTGTCACCCATAGTCAGTCAGGAGAATCCTTGAAAGATAAGATTAATACAATATAAATATGGTGTTATACAAGTAACTAGTCATCCAGTTTCCTTTCACGTTTCACCATTACTTGCATCACAAGCTCAGTCTGTATGTTATACTCTTCCATTCTGACATGCTACCTCTTCAATAAGTTAGTTAAACTTCAGTTTATAACAGTTTACATTTCTTCATTCTGTTACAGTGCTTAAAAATTATTAAAACATTTTATTTCCTATATAAACATTTGTAAAACGTTCAGGCAAAATGTAGTCATCCCCAGTTTGTAGGCAATCTAGAACCAGTATTTTTCTTTAAACAGAGTAGCTCTATGGCTTCTTGATATTTTCCTGGAAGGTATGTATGAGTAAATAGTTCATCTGTTCCCTACAGTTCTGTGTTCATATGTGTAGATTGCATAAGAATTGTTTTAGGAAGAATGTCTAACCTCTGATCTGGGAAACACGAAATTGTAAGTTGTGCACCTGCAGATGTTGCAGTACTCTTAGTTGCTCTCAGTTATGAACATTCATTATTAGAAACATGAAAATGTTTATTTGATGCATTCTTTTAGCTTTTATAATATATATTTTTGAATGATATAGTGTACCATAACAGGTATTAGGTTCCTACAGTAGATTCAAGGCTACAGTGTGCATAATGTACTCTGCTTTCAGCCAGTTACTGGGATTGTTTCTACAGAATTGGGGTTGAAGCTGAAACCTTATGAAACTGTATTTTGAAATCCCTTGTAGCTATCATTTTAGCACACAGTATACAAAACGATCATGTAAGTTCTTGCTTAGTCAGTGCCTGATTATGAGTTGTCCTGTGGAACATGGTTTTGGATCACAGAAAGTGAAATGAAGGAAAGCCTGTATCTTACAACACTTGAAGACCAAAGTAGCCGTCTCAAGAGCAGTGTGTTCTAGAAGCTCTAAAAATCTCTTGCTTTTTAAATTAAATTATTTGTATTCACTTCAAGAACTTTACTGGTACTTGTGGGGATTTAAAACTGTTCTGTTTTGTTGTGACTTTATTTGTATTGTGCAAAGATGTGCATGTCATTTCTGTTTGTAGAGTTTTACCTACTTTTTTTTTTACAGTTTTACACTGCTTCCCTGCCTAGCAAATCTCCATGAATATTTAGGATGGAATTGCCTGTTCAATCCAGAATCTAATTCTGAGAAATTACCAGACTCTGTTGTTACCTCCCAGTTGTTTACTGTGACTAGTTTGCACAGATGTTTTTCCTGTGGTTGCTGCAGTGTCTTTTTTTTTTTCTGTGTGTGTGTCTGTGTGTGTATTCTTTCTTAATATTATTATTGATGATATTCACACAGTTGTATTTGGCTTCATTGTGGATGGAAAGCTTTTTCTTTAACACAAAACAAGTTGCATTCCTGGCATCCCTTTAAAACAGGGAAGAGAGATCCCTCATTAATAATGAATTTTTAGTTTTTCCAGGACTTTTGCCAGTGTAGACTTGTGAGTCAGTAGAATTTTCTGTGAGCAGTTTACTTTACTCATCAGAATAGTGATGTTAATAATGTTGCAAACAGCTGCTGGGATTTTATTCTCTGTACTCTACTGTTTGTTCTTGACAACCTCATGTCCAATGTTTTATGAACAACATTCTTCTTTCCTTTTTATCCACTTTGATATCAAAACAAAAATTCTTCGTGCTTCCATTTCTCTAACAGTCTCTAATTTGTTAGACATCATCCTCCCTCTGCTTTACCTCTTCTGATGGTGTCTCTTTCATTTACAAATAGGAGATAAAATTTAATCATAGCACAATAACTTCCCTCATAGTGCCTGCTAGTACTAGTGGTGCTGTTGTTCTTTGTTTATGTGTCTCCGTATATTTATGCTTAGATTTTAGCCTTTTGCTCGAGAGGTGGCCAGTCAGAAACAAACATACTGAGTAGTGGAAAAAATGCATTATTCTTATTAAGATGAAGAGAAATTGATACTGCTTCAGATATTTCTTTTTCCTTTCCCTGTTTTACATTGCTTTTCTTCATTCTTTAATGCCACACAAGCCATATTTGAAAATCTCGGCTTTGTGTGTTCCTTAGCATAGCTGAAATAACATATGTCAAGCATGTTTGTATTCAGCAAAGGCACAGCATTATCTTTTTTTTGGAAGAACTGTTTCACTTTGTTAAATTGCAGGATAGAGGATTTCTTAGAACAAAATAATTAGGATAATTTATGTATGAAAGGTTAATTAAACCGCGCTCACCAGTAAATAGCTACAGCAAAGAATGATATAATGGGTGAGAAAATTAGGCCTCTAGTTTAAAACTGGATGCCTCTAAATTACCTTGAATGTGACAGAGGTCATTGCAGTCACTGGTCCTAAAATAATTACTAAGATCAAAATTACTACAATCGTGTCTGTGAAGAACCCAAAACCTCTTGGAGATGCTGAGTCATCAGCTCTGGATATGGTTACACAGTGTTTAATTGTTGATTATTATAAATTAAAATCCTAATATTTCAAACTGCCCTTCCTCAAGGTCACATTCATGTACCTAATTTTAAGCAGGTGAGTAAATCTCTTTTCTACAATTGGATTTCTCCGTCACAAAACCTTTAACAGGTAACCTGGCAGAACTGGAGGTTCAGTGTGTTTTGTTTCTGGTAGTGAAACTTCTAACCATTTTCTTTTTCACTCTTAAAATTGCGGTACGAATAAAGTTGGGACCATGAATAAGACAGTAAGAATCCAATTCTGTGTCGGGATGTCATAGCTTCTGTCTTTGCAAATGATTTTTGAGAGCATGCAGTGTATCAAGACTGAGTCTCCTAATGCAACAAGTTACAGTAAGTTGGAAGACAAAAACATTCCAAACTTAAACTTCTCTGTGTGGTTTTGGTAGCTTAGTGTATCCTGAGTACTTGGTCAATCAGTAGAAGCTGTCTTTGGATGTTGAGCCTATCCAAAAGATCTAGTAAAGGAATTCACATCCAAATCTTGTCTTGAGAACCATCAGATCTCTCAGCTGTTGTTTGTGCTATGCATTTTCTTCTGCCCTATCTATAATGGCAGCAGCATCAAAAGGTTGTTTTGCATTTTTATAGCTGTAGGAGTCTTTACCTTTAGTGAGTTTTCACATTGATGCACATTGGTGCAGAACACTAAATGAAAACATTTCCTTCAGCAAGAAACCTGTCAGCATGTAAGAGCTTAAAAGACTTCTGTTTTCTGTTCTAAACAATATTTTCTACATCTGTCTTAAAAAAAAATAATAAAATTGCAGTAAGAAATTCTGTAAACTTGATAATTCATATCCATCTCATGTGTAATTTTGATAGGTATATTTCATGCCGCGTTCTATGATAAAAATGAATAGTTGCCATGGTTAGGATTATACCTTGGAAAATAACCTCTAAATAAAGTAAATGAAGTCCCAATGATCAATTAAAAGCTTACATAAAATCTAATTTAAGAAAGCTAATTTGCAGAGAATGTTACACTTATTTAATAATTTAAGAAAGAAGTTCCAAGAACAATTAATTTACATAGAGAAAATGGAACTTCAGACTAGCTTACAATTCTTCTTGCTCTATTAATCTATTATTAGGTGGCATAATCAATAATCTCATTGATAAAATTAATATGAAGGCAAACATATAAAAACATATAATTGTTTTTTTCCAACAAGATATTTAAAATATTTAGGTAATTTTGCAATTATGAAACTGTGATGAGGGATATTTTGTGAATACAAACATGATGAAGTTAATACTTTCTATGTAAAATGAAATAGCTTTTCCCCTTGGCATCTGAACTACAAGCGAGAAAACAGAAAACAAAATTAAGTTTGGTCTAACTGTAATTTTTAATGTCTGCAAGTATTTTTAGTAGTCTATTCTGTTCATCGAAGAACATGAATATTTGTTTGGCTCTATTGATTTTGAGAGTGCTAATACATGTTTTAAGTGTTCTGTGTATCTATACTCACACAGGCATATGCTCACACATATGAGCATGCATATTTAGGTACTGGTAGATAAAAATTGTCCCTAAAATTAAATAGTGTTTTCTATGTAATTGGCAAACTGTAGCTGCAGTAAGTTTTAGGCACATAATCGTGCCCCTAATGTAGAAATACAATATGTACATGTTGATGTTATAGAATACTAATAGACAATAATAACAGTAGTCTTTAATAAATAGTCGTTATATATAAATATATATATATATAATAGACTTCACCAAATAGCTGATAGTACTGTAATGCTATCTTTTGCAGCTTCGTAAAGCCATTATAGATCACATCTCAGACTCCTTCTTAGATACCACCGTTCCACTTCTAGTTCTCATTGAAGCTGCTAAAAATGGAAGAGAAAAGGAAATAAAAGAATATGCTGCTATATTTCGAGAACATACCAGCAGACTTGTGGAGGTACGTTTTATGGACTTGAATTTTCTTTTTTGGCTATATGGTATAAGTGACTTGCCAGTGCAACATTCCCTTTGCTTCCAGATACCATGAAACCAACTAAGTGTGGTATTTCAGTTAAGAATACATTAATGGCCTAATATGCAAAAATGTTCATTTTTTTACATAATGGTATGCATTGAGATAGTGGATTTTGTGATATTGGTAATTCTATTTTATCGCATTAAAATTCTGTGGTGGGGAATTCTTCTTTGAGAAATTAGTGTAAGCCTTTCCACAAAGATGCTGAGTGGGAACTTGATCAAATGTTTGACTTTAGGGAGTAGTAGCTTGAAGTGGAAGTCTTCTAAGACATAATACACTAATCCTACTCTGTGTACACAGTGTACACTTGTCTGTGTATATTTATGTTATGATTTAATATGGTGCCTACAGTTAAGGGTTCATACTTTTAAAAACTTTAAGTAACTGGCTTTCAGAGAGACTGCACGCAGTCCCACCTCCTATTGTATAATTAGTTATTTCAACTTGTCACTTTACTAGTGATTACATTGGGTACTGATATTCAAAATGAACATAAAATTGAAGTTACCTTCTAGATATCTACTAGAACTGAAATATCTTATTTGAAAGTTGCTTGTATTGATTTAGAGTACTTAATGATATCTTTCAACAAGAGCTTGATGATATATATTCAGCAGCATTTTGATAAACTGGACTGCTAAACCTGCAAGCAAATTAGTTGGATAGTAGTTCTACTACATCTGTCAACTGCTGGCCTACCAGAAGTAAAACAAAACAAAGACAGAAAAATATTAACAGGTAACCAAGTTTTCACAGAGGGACTTTGTACGTACAAACAGATTTATCTGATTTCTAAGAAGAAATTCAATAATTTCCAACAATAGCAGCAAAGAAAAAGAATTATGGCAGCTCTTTTGTAGAAAGTGGAATACCAAATAATTTGATACAAATAGAATAGCATTTAAATACATTATATTGGAAAGTGGAAGCATATTTTGTTTTTTAGCATCTCAAAAGTTGGTAAGCACAAAATATGTATTTTTTTAAATGACCATAATACAGCACTGAACTGTTGCTTTAATTTGCCAAGTAATACAATATGTAGATAAAATGAGATCTCTAACAGATCTCTGGTTTTGAAATACAAAATTGGAAAGCTGGTCATGTATACCATTGCAGAGTTGGGCTTCATATTCTTTGTAATTGAGAATAACTTTAAGTCACATATTGAGTGCAAGTGTATGCCTGACTGTGGAATACTAATGGACATGATAATTAAAGGTAAAATCCCTGAAAAGCTAAACAAGTAAGTAAAATGAGTTGCCAAGAATAACATATGACAGTAACAATAGTAGAAAAGAGTCATCTAGTCATCTAGTACCGTGAAAGTCCTCTGGCAAATCTTCATAGGTTGTTCTTTTATTTACTACATGGAATAACTCTGTAAAAGATGAGGCAAAAAAAAAAATAATACAGGTTAATGCAGACACTGTGAACTCAAGGAAATTTCTGGCTTACAGCTTTCTCCCAGTTTCCACCAGATTTGTTCCTGAGGTTGGAAAAAAAAAAAAAAAAAAGATGATCTTATTTATCAGCTATGAAATGCTGGTTACTCAGCCACACTGATGTTTAGTAAAGCCCTGTGGTTTGTCCAAGAACAGAACAGGATGAGGAGGAGTGGCAGGATCTAAATGCCTGGATCTCACTGTTGCATGCACAGCACAATTAACAATCCACCTCTTTCCTGGCAACCTTAGGGAGTGCCTTTTCAGTTGTCTGAATGTAGGGAAATAGATCTGTCAATTTCTGCTTGGTTTTAACATTGCTCTTATAAAATATATTTATGGTGTAAGAAAGCTTTATAACTATTTCCTTTTTATCCATGTAAAGGTAACCTTTTGCAATTGAAGATATTTGCTGTAAAAAAAGACACAGGTACCCTCTGCTAAAATTTAATTCTGTCCAAACAGAAATTAAAAAATAAAAATAATAAATAAAAAAAAATTATATATATATATATATATACAAATATATATATTTTTCTTGATCCAGTCTAGAGTTCAGCTTCTCTAAGTCTCTTCATTAAAATAGTGTTTCAGGTTTATCTCATTCCATCTGAACATGCACCATACACATACAACATTACTTAGCTAGGGTCATGATGTTAGTTGTTGCACCAATGAGTAATTTGATGATATCAATTCAAAAATGGAGACAGGACAACATACTGTAACACAAGATTGATAGTGCATTTTCAAAATAATCACCCATCATTTCAGTCAAGATAGTTTTATTATTTTAGTGATCCCTATGTAAAAGTTGATACACATTTTCATTCTATAAAATTCTGTGTCGGTTCTAAATGTTACTGCTGTTGCTGGATTGGTAAAATCATCAGTGCTTCATTTTATTTCAGTGATAACTTTCCTTGCAGAAATTAGCAAAATAAATTTTTGAATCCGGTACAACAAGACCTGTGTATTTGCGTATTCAGATATCCAGTCGCACAAAAATCGATTTTAATATTGCAGCCGTCATGTCCAACGGTGATAGATAATGCAATGCATTTGATGTTACAGCATTTGGATATAAGTCCATTTTTAAGAAAAACAAGCCACTGATTTTTTTTTTTCCCAATTTAAGTCTTAATTAGTCAGTTCAGATTAAAATAAGTAATACTCCTCTCCCTGTACCAGTAACTACCAGTATCACTTCACTCATTTGGTTTGGTTTGTCTTCTAAATAGAAAAAGTCAGATTTCAGATTTTCTGAGATTGATTGATAGTGTTGTTTTTTTTTTTTTTTTTTTTTTTTTTCGATATAAAGCCTTATTTATCCCATTTACACTTAGCCCAAGATAATGATTTCCCAGGGAAGATTTATCTTACTAATAGTAAGTGCCTGTCTCTCCTTTGACTAAATGACTAGTTTAGACTGGGTGTCTAATTTCTAGATAGCTGAAGTGAGGTGAAATGAATTGTACTTTGAGAGAGGAGTGTTTGTTTCTTTTAAGACATATGTTATGTTACAATTTCTTGTGTTCCATATAGCAGTTTTTAATTGAGTATCTCTTACCTCTCAGTGCATTTTTTGTATCTACGTCAGAAAGATCAGGGATGTTTGAATAGTCAGTTATGAGACTGTTCTGTATATAAGTAAAATAGACCAAGTTGGACATTAAAGGTTCATATTCTCACAGTTTTCTCTAGCAGTGAAATTGATACGGGAAACTAGAAGTACTTTATGAAATACGAAGAGATGTTCTGTGGTTTCTATTTTAATCAGAAAATGAAAATTTCTCCAGCATAAACAAAAAGTCTTGAGAAAGAGCATGTTGTGTTTTTGTTTTTTTTCCTCTCTGAATATGAAATCTTTATTAATCTAAGCTAAATTGCCTGTTTCTGTAAGTGCTGATAGTCTTATTTAAGAAACAAACAGTATCTTCATAAGCCAGTGATCATTGTAGATCAGCTTGAGGATTCATGTTTCTTACACACACTTATCTTCTGACTTAGCATATGGAAGTTTACAGTCTTCCTTTAAAAAGTTCATTGAAAACATAACAGTGTGATACAGTTCAAAATTATGTATATACATGTAAGTTTAGTGAAGCATGAGATATCAGTGAAATGAGAAGACTGAACACCACCCCAGGTCTGGGGCAATGATGTTTCCAAAGTAGTAGCAGCTACCGGTGCTACTTCTTTTCCATGTTTCTTATGTTATCTTTCTCCTGAGATTATTTACTGTTCTTTGGTCTTAGATGAGAGGTTTTAGCTTCTGTTAAAAAAGTGCAGGGACACTTGAGATGTTAGCTAAACTTACCAGAAATATTAGCTGGTGCTTTTTGGACAGTGCTAATATTTAAAAAGCTCAGACAGTGGCAAGGTATTTGAGATTCCCCGGTTAACATCTTTGTACCATTAACAGCTATGCTGTACTTGCACAGAGCCGAATCTCCTAATTGGAAATATGAATACTGTACTCAAATGTATGGAGGAAATGAAATAGTCCTAGTTACATGGTTTAAAAAACAAACAAACAAAAACACAAACAAAAAAATAGACTCTTTGGCTATTACATTGGATACTTTCCATATATGAAATAGTCAGCAGCTGAAGTATTTCATGAGTATCAAAGGTCACTTTAAACATTCTTCATATGGAGGTTATTCTATACTACTGTACCTTATTTTGCTCATATACTGCATCAAGTATATGTAAGTCTGAATATTGATTATGTGATATTGAGAAACTAGTACGTATTGTAGAAAGAAAAAAGCAACCATATTTGGGTTAAGGTTCTGTCTATACTCAGTCTTTCTGAGCCTTGGCTAAAAAAAATACTTCCAAAAGGTATGTTTTGGTTAGAAAATCATCTTTATTAATAGCAATTCTTTAATATAATGCATTAATGTTGATACAAACATTTAAAAAAAATAAAAACTAGCTGCTTTGAGATGTCATACATCTAGGTTGTGATTTGAAATGCCTTTTCATTCAAAATGTTACAATGAAATTGCAAATCTAATTGAAATACTTGGTTATATGGAAACATTTTTGAACATTCTTATAGGAAATTTCAGAGTTGGTTCTGTACTGAATCTGAACAAAAACACTACTTAAAATTATGCAGATTACCACAGAATTATATTAAAAAGCTTAAGGGAACTTGGTTGTACTTTGTTTATCATCCCTGGCAAGACATGGCTATTTTTAGTGAATATTGTATTCTGCCTTGTGTTTTGCTTCTACCAGAGGTGAAAACGACTTCTGCTATTGAGAGAACAATTATGTGATCATGAACAAATGATAGGTAAAAGGAAAGACTGAAATTTCCTGTCTGCTCAAGGAAAAAAGTAGATCTTTTGTAACTAGAAATTTCTTGTTTGGGAAAGCAGACAGGCTGTTCTCCTGAGCAGATATATCAAAGAGATGTATAGCTTTTTGAGAGGTGAAGTGATAGGCTGGGTGAACTTG